TTTTTTGTACCTTATCTTTCGCCAAGTCACGTAAAATGTTATCTTAATTCTGAAAACTTTCCGCCATTTAAAAAAATAGGAGGGAAAATGTTTGTTACATTGACGTCATCTATGCGTCTGTCCTCTAATAGATCATAGGTGAGAGCTGCTCAAAATGCGAGAATAATTTGACTTATTATATAACGCGCGATAATTGACGAGGACGCAGCTCGAGTCAACTATCACGCAAAGAAATCGAGAGCAAATGATCTAATTGTTTTATGGTATAAATCTCCTAGTAGTTGAAAACATCATCTAAATCCTCGTCACAGATAACTCGAAAACGCAAAGCCGAAGATGCCGTCATTATTTTGTTAACAAGCGTATTATCTAAAGCAGAATATATGGTAAGTAACGTAGCCAATTAGAGAACGGCGTTCGTCATAGAACGCGAGTAGATTTATGCCAAAACTCGACAGAAATACCGTGCATGTTTTCTATTTCTGAAATAATACAAGAATGTTACTATTTAGATCAGGAATAATTTTGAATGTAATTTTCAAGACGGGCCAATTTTCAGTACCTATGTGTAAAATGTATGTTTCGCCTGAAGTCAAGCATACGCCCTTTGATCCTTTCCTCCTTAAGCGTTTTGTATTATTCCTCGTAAGGTTGACGCGTTCTTGCATATATTAAACATGTTCTACAGTCGAAACTCTCTTGCGACATCTCCACAATTCGACACCACTATTTTACTGACAGCTCATTTCGTTCCTCAGAAACCAGAAGTGATATGATTTAGCAGGGTTTAGTTGTTCCTCTACGTTTATCATCTTGAACAAAAATCAATGTTTTTTAATCCGAGCAAAGGACATTTTGATCTTTGTCTTCACAGGGAAGTATATGTACACTGAAGCTTCACCTCAGTTACCGGGCGATAATGCTAAGCTCCAGCTTGTAGTACCAAGAAGCCTGGGTAGCTCAACTTCATGCTTGACGTTCTTCTATCACATGTATGGATCATCGATGGGTACCCTGAACGTATTCAATGGAAATAGCTCAATATTTACTGCGTCCGGAGATCATGGAAACTATTGGAGAAAAGTTACAAGGACAATAAATTCGAGCAACATTGTAAGTATGCCTTAATTGTGTGGTTCCTGAATTTCTGTAATCCGCAGTATTTTTGTCTTCAAAGCATTTGAAAGATCTTCAGACATGTGCATGTGTGTATGTATGTGGACGTACATCTTTGCATACGTACATAGATGCACGTATCTACTCTTAGTCATGTCCGTTATAAGCTATTATACTCAAACTTATTCTTACTGTTTGACATACCGTAAAGGGCTGTTTTCGATTCGTATACGACATGAAAATTTCATTTCGCTATAAGAGGATGCATTTCACTTGAGTGAAGGGAATGAAACGACTTGAAAATCCGTAAGGTTTGTATGAAATAAAGGAAACTGATTTCCGGTCCGTATACAGTTCCAAAATTGCAACTTATTATACGCTTTTCAACCGAAAGAACAGTAAAAGCCTCATACTTTAAGGAAGTAGCGTGGCCGTGTGGTTTAGGGCGTGGTTGTTGTAATCCGGAGGTCCCGGGTTCAAGGCCTCCGCCCTGTCATTAGCGGGATTTGTTTCTCGTTAGTCCCGAGTTCAAATCCTCGGTCACGCTTTGTAAATAGCCAACTGGTCTGCCTCCTACCAGTTGGGATTTTTAACTATGTTACGTTTATCTGAAATATTTGTTTCCTTTGTTTTAGTGGCATGTCTGTAAACTAGCTAAGCTTAGCTTACATTTTTACATTTCATGCCACTGCCAAAGCAACAAAACAAAATTAATATACACGTTTATCGCGTTCGTGAAACGCAGGCCACTCACTTAATGACGCGTTTAACCTTCCGCCTATTGGACTTTTCCATTGTTGATGTCCTAACAACAATAACATTAAAGTAAAACCACATAAGCTAAGTTCTTACTTGGTAGATAGGTTTTATGTTGTTGATTTGGCGTATCGGTAATGTGAACGTGCCGTAATTAACAGAGTTTTCCTCCTAAGCATCTCGATATTTACCTAGACGAAGTAAGAAACATTAATATTTTAGAACAAGCACCTTGTTGTAAAGCCACCAAAGTAAGGGCCTGAGTATCCATTCAAAGCATATTTTACCCTGCACAGAGTAGCATTATCGCATCGCTTGTAAACTGACGAATTAGGTCATCGCAACCCGCAGTGACCGATCAAGAACCAATGAGAGAACCTCAGACAGCTCCAACAAACTCCAGTCTATAGCATAATCTTTTTACTATCTCTTTTCATCTTTTGAAAAAAAAAATGATTTGTCAAGGCATGTAACTTTTTTCATTTCCTAGTTGACATTCGAAGGAATAAGAGGAAGGTCATACACCAGTGACATCGCAATCGATAACGTAACAGTTAGCGAAGGAAATTGTCCAGGTAAGACAGGTTGAGAACAATCGTCATTTGATGTCCGTCGCCTGCAAGGCCAATCCTAAATTAAAATCGTACTGATCAAAACAAACACGTATAGAACGGTTTCTCGCTCGCATTTTCGTTGAGTTGCGTTACTTCTCTAAGCGATTGGCTTAATAACGTCACGCCACGTTGTCATCTAATCAAAATTAACAACGAAACCAATCTTTTCTCTCTTGTACACGTTTTCACTCGCTCGGTGCCAGCTATATGTGTTTATTTTGAGTTATGATTGGTTCACAGGACTTTCTGCAACCTTTAAACAACACAACAACAACAACAACGAAAACAAGAAAAACAAAACAAATTGGAGGCGCGGTGGCCTCAGGTCAGTGCGCTCGTCTCAGGAACAAGCGGGCCCAATTCGAGCCCTGGC